ATGATCAACTTTAAATTAATTGCGTCGAGCATGACACCACTTTTGCATGCGAGCCTGCGCGAAACTCGTCGAGCTCGCCGAGACATGAAGTTTCAAGGTGCCGAGAGGTGTCGAGAGGTATTCGGAGTCCCGTAGCCTCGCGATTCAGGAAGACTCGAAACGGCTGACGCGCCGCATTCGTTCGATTTTTCTTAATTCTTCTCGACGACGACGAGGAATTTTGAGAAGATAAAATAACGCGCGCTTGTATGTTTGTAAGTGGCGGAGACGCGCGAAAAGCGAAGACCGTAGGCCGATTCGCGATGAAGGAACATCGCGCCTATCCTATCCGGTAGCCGCGCTCGTCGTCTTAATGGAGTTCATAAAGATTAGAGCGAAGTCCGCTGCAGGGCTGGTGAAACCACTCTCCCGAGAACGAGTTTTCGCCGCTTTAGATACATCCAGAGAGCGTCGTTCCAGCGCGAATATTGCGCATCGATAAGTTTATCTCGAAATATCAGCCGGCAATCCCTCGCAGCGAGAAGTGTTCGCGTGGCTGACGCGACTGGTCCGAGAAAAGCCACTTCCGTTCCGATCAAGCCCCGGTTTCTCGAGATTTTTCGCCCTGCAAACGCTCCATTTTCCCATTTTATATCTTTCCAACTTTAGTCCCCATCAAACATTTCGATTCTCGTTCTTTCCTATACAGAAAAAATTTAGCGTTAAGGACGATGAATGAAATGAGCCGATTTTGGCCTCCGGAGTGGCAAACGGTTTTTTTTTAAGTTTTTGAGCTGCTAAATTTGATTCTGACTTTTAAAAAATTTTAATTTGTCGAGGAAGTATTAAAAGCAGCTATGAAGCTATTAAACATCTAGTACCGTAAATTGTTGTTGTTGAGCTTTACAAACGTATACATTCGTGTTTTCCTGCTATTAAAACATAATAATAATGCTCTCATCTATAATAGTTCATGCTGCACATAATAATGCTCTCATCTGTAATAGTTCATGTTCTGAATAGCTCATGTCCGTGCACTCTATACAATGGAACCCTTTTATAGTCACATTTTCTGGACCGAAATGTAACTATTTTTTCTCCTCTACATCTTATGTATATATTCTCCTATGTAGAGTATAATATATAGATAGAATATAATATAGAATACAATATATAAATTTCCGTTCATAAAAATATTTTACTACTTGTTGCATTAACTTACCACTGGGAATTGTAAGATTTACGTAAAAAATATTTTTAAACACCAAGATCCGCTTCACTGAATAAGGCCTTGTTCATTTATTAATTTGCGTTGTTCACATATCAGTTGATTTTCACTTAATATTGTTTATTATATTATAGTTTTACATTTTTATTAATATACCGTTTACGTAATAGTATAATAATAACGTAATAATATTTTTATATATTTTATGGCTTCATATGCTTATTTTAATATTTTCCTGACAAATTAAAATTTTTTACAGGTCAGAATCAGATTCAGCAGCTCAAAAATGATAAAAAACGTTGTTTTTATTTCCCACTCCGGCATTTTTATTTGCCAAAATCGGCTCACTTTATACCGTCTTTTATATATTACACATTTCCCAAACGATCCACTCAAATTTTTGTGTTAATTTAACACAAGATGAATTGAAAAAGAATACAAAGATTAATACACAAAATTAATACATTAATCGGCACTGAAGTATAAAATGTGTTATTTTAACACTTACACATATTGAATATAATACAAAATGTCAAATATAGTTTTAAAGGCTCTAAAAATATCCGATTTTTTCAATTTTTTCGCAGTTCTTTTCGATTTCTTTTTGCAAGAAACATGGGAAAAAACGTTTCTTTTCTTTTTTCAAGAATTTTCGGGTTTTCTCTATGGAAAAATTGAAAAGAACAGCTTTTTAACTATAATATTGAGATAACAGAGACACCATATGTAAAATTAATATACGAGTATGTTAAAAGTTTAACATGAAATTTTAACAAAGACCGATTTTAACAAAATTTTGTTTATTGTGTACGGGAGCTTTGGGAATATTACATCTCGGAAGCGCGCTTTCTATTACCGAGGTTTCTTGACCGTCTAAAATCTTTGTATTTACGACTACGCTCTTGATGTGGTTACAATTTCCATTCTCCTCGAGATATTTGTCATCCACGAGCGCGATACGTTTGTATTACTTTTACGGTCCATTATATCTGGCTGGGCACGATTGACGTGGGTTGTCCCCAAACGCGTAATAAATATCACGTCTTGTCCCCTTTGGATTAAGAAAGAGCGCGGGGTGTGGAGCAGAAACTAACGCCCGCAAAGCTCGTAAAGCAACGGATCGCCTCGTATAAAATAAAAGGGAACGCACAGATTAACGGCCACGAGAGTATGCACGTCGCTCGACCCGCGCAGGATCGCGCTCGTCTAATCGCGCCCTCCTACGTGCCCTTCGTGCCTCTCCCCAACGTTGCGCGCGAGGATCATGTGTTCCTGCGAATTTAATTGTCTCCATAAATATCGGAGTCCCTCTGCCCCACGCGGAGCCGCGTTCCCTGCACTGGAGGTGCAGGAATCTCCCTCTCCCATCCCCGCGTTTCTCTCGCTGCCTCGTGTCCGGAGATTCCGAATTCCTCGTCCGCCCTTTGTGCCGATTGGAATGCATAATGCATCCTGTAGCCGGCGTATTAATTATCAACACTCTCGAAACTTGAGAAAGAAGTTAAAGATTAAAGATCCTAAGTCTGGGTATTTTTTATCACTCTGAAATGAGTACAAATCACAAATTTCTCAAATAGAATTCTCGAATCTTAAGTCTGTCTTTTAATTTTTTTAAAGAAAAAATGGAAATAAAAACCTGGAAAAATAGCAATTTTGGCAGTTAGAGTTTTTTTTACAAATTCGAAGCATTTTTTTACAAATGTTTATTTATATATTTTTACAAATATATAATACAATATAATATAAATGTATAATTATATAAATTATATAAATGCATAATAATGTAAATATATATTTTTACAAATGTATATGTAATGTTTATCGGCCATTGTATCATGTCGAAAATCGCTTATTGGCGGTACCGCTTTTATTTATATCAACTAAAACATCACTTCTCTCTTAACGTAAAAGACATAATCGCCATAAAATTTTTAATGATGACGCTAAGTGGTCAAATGTAAAAAATTTCTATAAAATGAGACCTAATAGTTAAAACAATTATATAAGATAAAACTACGATTCATGTGCTTTTATAACCAGGTAATTTCTATTTTTGTTCTGCAGCTCTGTAGATATCTCTCTTTTAACGCCTTTTTTAAAAGCCGCATAATCGTTATAAAATTTTTAATAAGGAGTTCGGTGAGCAAAGATTAAAATTTCTATAAAATCATTAAAACGATCATTAAAACGAATATACATGTTAAATTTACGATTTATATGTCCTTATCATATTCAGATAATTTCAATTTTTGCGCTAGAAAATTGTTAATAGGAAATTAGGTGGCCATACGTTAAAATTTCTATAAAATGAAACTAATAGAATTAAAACAACTATGCAGGATGAATCTATGATTTATGCACTCTTATATTTAGATTATTATAATTCGTTATAATCCAATTCATTCCGATTGTTGCGCTACGAGCATTAAACATCTTCTCTCTGTAGTAACTACTTCATTTTATAATCTCTGTGTGTGTGGGGGCGGGGGGGAGGTTAGAATATTATAATTTATGCGTTCTTAAATATATGAAAATAATATTGAAAAATCTCGGATAGCAATTTAAAATGGTTGTAATGTTAACACTTTTAAGATACAAACTGTAAAAACCACCAACAAATGGTTGTGATGTTAACACTTTTAAGATATAAACTGTAAAAACTGAAATTTCACGACAACCAATCAACATGCATCGTAGCGAAGAGGCATTAACTCTTCGATATTTCGAAATTTTGATAACATGTCTTTTATTAAAAGGTGATTATAGAAATTATTTAACCATTGGATTATATCACCGGATGTAGGTTTTTTAGACATCGGATAATTATAGTACAGAAATTAACATAGAAGTAGAGACACAGGTCTATATCCTGGATTCACTTTTATCGATAAAAATGCCTTAAATGTGACTTCTCAGTCAATCAGATGGTTTCCAAACCATTTTTAGAGGCATTTTTATCGATAAAAATAAGTTCAGAATGTAGACCATAGTGCATAACGTGACTATGTATACATATATAGAAAGACACACATGAGAGTTGACGAAGCTCCTATTAATCCTGCCATCGTAAATCCTGTGGCGCCTGGCTGCTTCATCCTGGCGAAATTCCAGTGACTGTGCTTCCTCTCGTAAACGTCCGGTCTTTATGTCGTCGTTCAATCACCCCCCTTTCTCTCTCTCTCTCTCTTTCTCTTTCTCGTATCTGGTGTTTGCCAAACTCGCGGCATCCGTCGTCGGTCCGGCATGTTCCGCGTCACCGTGTATTTAATTCGAACCTTGGACGATTCCATTGACTTCCACGGCGCAATGTCCGCCGCTGAATAAATCTGCGTACGTTCGCGGGCATCCGGCCTGCGTTTCCGCCGCTCAACCGATCGATGTTTCAACACGTGATTCCGCACATTCCGCGATATAAACCACTCGGCCTGAATCACACGGGTTGACGATCCGCCGACTGACGGACGTATTCCGGACGTCTACCATCTCGTTTTGCCAAGCCTTATGATCCTCAGAGCTACAAAATTAGAAAGTTTCAAACTCTCACCGAATTTTGCTCGAAAGACCTGCGTTTCCGCGAGGTGCAGACGGCGGAGTTAAAAAAAAAAAAGACGCGATAGTTCTATTATTCTTTCGAATCTCGATGTTTTCGTTCGGAAAAACATTTCAGCTGCGTTCAGAAAACAACGATTGCACAACGGTTGAATAATTCGTCACAGTAACTTGTCTAAATTTAGGGATCTAACAGACAAGGACCAATAATCATTGATCGGCTCGTTGCTTGCTTCTGTTGTAGAGAGGTGTGCGTAGATGAGGGCCAACAACTGTCGCTGGCGCACGGATGTCAATTTTACGAGGTGAGCGCTGCGGAGAGTCCCGCAGGAGCTGCGTTGGCCTTCCAAGCGCTTCTGCGGGAGGCGAGATCGGTGCAGCTACTGCGAGCGTTGCCGATCCGCAGGAAGCTCGGTGTGCACTCAGTCTCGAGGGTCCTCGGTACGATTTTCGGCAAGAACACCACGAAGGATCGCAAGAAGAGGCCGTCGTTGAGCATATGACGCCTCCTAGGCGCCCTCCTCCTCGGAGGACGAGACGAGCCGGGCAGAAGGGCCGACATCGTCGTCCTCAGCAGCAACGTCTACTCGAGTCGCTAACGAGGTCCTCGGCAGGAACGAGTCGCCGCCGCTTCGAATTTGGTATGAATTTCCCTTCGATCTTGTGCCTTTCCGAACTCCGAAGAGAGTGATCGCGCAATCGGACAACGCTCGATCTCGACTTTGGAAGCGCTCTTTTCGCGAGATCCCTCGTAATGACGTCGTCGCCGGAGGAAGAACGCGCTCGATACGAGGGGCGATCGAGTTTCCGCGGTCTTGCAGCGTTCAGGATCTGAAGCCACGTGAATCCAAGGCTGATTTTCCGGCGTCGTGATCGCGCGAATTGTCCGAGGACCTCGAAAGTGCAACTTGAGAGAGCCCACGGGACACCCGAGGTCCCGCGGCGGGATCTGACAACCTGGACGACATCCGACGGGTTCCCGAGGCATCATCAGGACTGCGAGAAGGTCGTTCCGCTCGTCCGGAGGGCGAAATCCCCCCCCCCCCCCTTCCCTCTTCGTGAAAAGAAGAACTACTGCGAGTGTTCGCGCGTGCGATCCTGTTTTCAGCGCGGCATTGATGTGTCCTCGCGCGAGCGAGAGCAATGAGTCAACGCCTCCTGACTGCTCGACAATCGTTTCTTTTTGTTTTCCTTGGAATACATCTCGCGGTGACATCTCGCAGTGATCACGAGTGACCGGCAAAGTTGTTCCTGAACACGTTAGTCCTTAAGACGATCGACGGAGAACGATTCTTCCGGTCGCGCCTCGCAACCGGTTCCGCGAGTGCAAATTTTATAATTTGGTACGCATAACACCTTGCAACGCTCACTCGGTGTTTAAGTTATTACGTCGCTAACTCTAAACAGTATAAGTCGTCTCGCGTCGTTCCTGCTGCATTTACAAACGTTCCACAGACGCACTTTAAAAGACATCCCTACGCAACAAGAGTCGAGATAGACTTTGATTCTCGACAAGAACGTTATCACAGCTTCTCGGCGCCGCGATTATCTTTTCAGAATTATTTTCCGGTTTTTATATTTCATAATTTTTCTCTCGCGTTCTGCTTTGCCCCAAGAATTTTTTCGCGTTCGAGCGAAACGCGTTGTACTGTTTAGAGTTCATTTAATTTCTTTTTTTTTCTCTTTCGATGCTCCCGAACGAAACCCGTGAGTCTTTCAAATTTCGATGCTCCCACCAAGTGGAGAAGATCGCGATTCGATTTCCTGCCTACCGCCTTAGCCGTCTCTCGAGAAGTGTTTGCGAGCGGCTCGTCGAGAGCGACCGCGACACCTTCGCCGGGCGTGATTGATTCGATGATTTAAATGTTCCTAAAGAAAGTAGCCTAAGTGTAAATAGCGCACACGTTCGCTTATCATACTTCGCGGAGGGATTCTTCGTGGAGACTCGAGTAATCGTTAAGATTTGCATACGAGAGAAGAGAAATAATGAATGCGATTGCTGGAACTCCGGACCCATTAAAAGTTATCGTTGTCGAATTGTCAAATGACTAAGAGGACAACGCGAGGAAGCATCATGAAAGCATCGAATTCCGGAAGATTTGGAAAATTTCCCATGAAATTCCATTCGCTGTTTTATTGCATACGGCTTTTGTGAATTCCTACACGGAAAAAAACTTAATATCAATTCAAGGTTCATATTCTCATATATAGAATGTTCCGCGAATAAACCGACAAACTTCGTCAGCGTATTTGAGAGGTCATTCTGAACAAAAAACGTTATGTAAACAATGAATCAATTCGGCTTCTTTATCGAGATACGGAAGTTGTATTGATATGAACCACAAATAATCAGAGGCGTTCAAATTTAACTTAATTTTTGTTTAATTATTTGTGTGAAATTGCGTTTAATATTGACATAATGTACTAATATTTACACATATTGTTAAAAATAAGCACTTCGTGGTTTTATGCAAGTAGACGCTTCCATTGACCGCATCCATACAATATCTCAAAATCATTGCTAATATTAACTCATATAATTTTATATGAAGATGAAACTTACTTATATGGAGAAATTCTATGTAGTTCAACTAAAAATATCATATTCTTGTTATTCAAGAATAATTTTCACGAATTGAAAGGAAAAAGTATTGAATAGAAAGAACTATATCTTCAAGCTAAGAATTGTAGTCAGTTTGAAGATGTTCTTTCTATTCAATATTTTTCTTCTTAATTCATAACACATTCTTGAATAACAAGAATGTGATATTTTTAATGGAACTATGCATTGGATGGATGCAAAAGTTTTAATGGTTTTGCAGTAGTTGTAAGCAATATTTTTATATTGCACTATTAACAGACATGTTTATTATATATCGTTAAAAAGGTAACACTATCAGTTGTCATTGAAAAAAAATTATTTTCGAAAAAATGCAAATAAAAAAGCCTGACTTTTTATAATAAAACTAGTGTTCTTAAATATTTAGAAAAATTACCTCTGGGAAAAAACCAGTTTTTCGCGACAGATCATGACATTGTATTACGAGCATATCAAGTACATTATATATAAACAATCGCGAGTATATATAAGAATATGTATTATACATGTGAAGATATGAGTCGTGAATTGATACTAATTTTTTTCCATATAAATTTGCATACAAAATAGAAACGACTTTTAATGGGTTAACAAGTATCAACGATCGTTCGAATGGCTGCCATGTTACACGTCGGTGACGACAAACCGATTATCGCGTGTCTCGTCCACTATTTACCGTAGAAAGCCTTTGGGCGTTTGCCTTTTTGCTAAGCCTTACAATCGCGCTTCGACGTTTTTGTAAGTCGTCCTTTTTTCTACGACAAACATAGAGACTACGGTTGACTTTAAGGTTCGCGTAGTTCGTAAACGCTTTTCAGTGTCTTCCGAACGACGTAAAGCTCGTCACACGATGCCTCTTTTACTAGAAACCAACGTGATTTTTGACGATAGAAAACGGTTCTATATGCATACGTCGATTAATTAACGAGCGGTGAATTGCACAACGCTTTTTTTAGCGCGTCGGTTTTTAGTAAAAAAAGTCCACGAGCGCACGTGAGTCGAGCTTTCAAAAGCGGCCTGTCTCGTCCTGAGGCAGGATTCAGCAGCGAAGTGCGTATCTCTCTTCTCGCGATACATTCCACTTGAAAATTAGCGTCTAATGTGTGTGAGTGCGTAATTCGATTCCAGGCAGATCGTCGCTGTATTCGAAGTGCTAGTCACTTGTTATCGAGAGGAGATAATAATAAAGGAGCGTCTTTTGTTAAGTCGAATCTTCAAGTCGAATCTCCGCCTGCCTTTGCCCGTTTCCAGCATCGACGTGACACCTCGATGGTGCTCTGTTGCAGTCATTTCAGCTGAGGGTAAGTCAATCATCAGAGGAGTATTTTGACAAATATAATATAAATTATAATTATACGCACTGTGATTATATACATATTGAAACAGTATACTCCTTATGTTATCGAAAACAATCATAGGATCGCATGAATTGATAGTCCCACCAGGTATTTGTACAGTAATTGAGACCAAAAGATTAAATAGCTAAAACGTAAACATGTTTACTAAAGATTGACAGATAAAAAAGTTACATTATTTATTGACAGATGAGTTGCAGTATAAAAGTTGCATTACTCATTGACGGTGAAAGGAGTACATAAAGAAAGTATTTGATACTCTTTGAGTATTTACTCGGTGATACACGCATTCGAAGCGATGAATTCCTATCAGGTATGGGAGTGACTTACTTTACTTCACTTTTCCTCACTTCTTTCAAAACATCTCACTTTTTCCCACTTTTGGGAAAAAATTTTCTTCTAATTTTTTTCTTACTCAAGTCCTTTTAAAAATAAAATTCGATCACAAGAAATCATGTTCAACAATTAACTTCTTTAAAAATAAAGCAGAAGATATGACAATATTTCAATATAAAAATGGAAAATAACAATGACTCCGATGACACAATGTTTATAAAGTGAAGAACTGTGATTTTATTTTTAACACTTTCGCTGCCGATCCCGCGCCAGTGCGTGATCTGGCCTCAACGTTACGGAGCCAATCACGCGCCAGCGCGGGCTGTGGGGTGATGTATCAGTCACGCGTTCGGCGGGGCACTAATTATCAACACATCCTCACGTGACCGGCAGCTAATGTGTTAAGTAAATATTACTTGAATGTGTGTAGCACTTTTTCGGTTCGGCAGTCAACGTGTTAAGCTATTTTTTTTAGGTTTGTCAGGCCCAACAGTTTGACAGTTGACCGTTATGATCATACCTAATTGTATTTCTTTGAAATTATGTAGTAGAATCAATTGCTCACAATTTGTCCACATTTGTCTATTTATAATTCTTGTTTACCCGCCAAGCCAAAATGAGTTGTTAACAAACGAATCTAACAAACAGACAATAATCGTCAGCAGTACACCTTTGATTGTTTTCTTTAAATTGGATATCATTGAGTATTATTTTTTAAATATTATTCTTAAAAAGTTCATTAACTAGTTTGTTTTCAACGGAAAAATCCATAATTTAATCCGTGTTTTTTTTTTTCTAAAATTTAACACTCTTGTCCTAAGTCCGAGTATAGGTCGAGGTAGTGCGCAGACGACAACTGCCGAAGCCCGAGTATAACTCGGGCTTGGCTATTTAATTCCATACGTTTCTGCTGTCGGCTTATTCTCAGGTTTCGGTAATTCCAAATGTTTCATAGAACATCGGATATCTATTCCTCTTCTTCCAGACATCAAAATTGTCCAGGATCCCATTAATAAATCATCTTTAAGCCCAAGATTTCAAAGTGTTAACTTTAACGGAAAGATCTAAGATATCCCAACATCTTGGAAATATATTGCAATGTAGCTTAACTGGACTCAAGCGTTGTTTTTATTTTATTTAATCAAATATATTTGAAGAAATACAAAAAATTTAATTTTTTACGAAGAGTTTTATTGTATATGAACTTGAATATGCACTTAAAACTGTTTAAAAGTTTAAAATAAATTTTTAATTTTATGCAACATTTTTATATCCCAAAATTCAAATTGTGTTTTCTATTGATTTTTACGATAAAGTTAGTGTTCTTACATATAGAGAAATTATATAATACGTGAACAATTAATTTTTTAATGTACAAATTATTTAAAAGGCATTTTTTACTCACTTCTTCTAAAAAAGCTAACTCACTATTTTCTTACTGTCTCAAGAAAGAAACTCAGCTATTTTTAACAATTAAACCGCTCCCATGCCTGCTGAACGTCTCGATCAGTGCGCATCTTTCGTTATATTCTCAGGCGTTCGACGATTTGGACGCTGGCTAGACCCTGAAATTAGCCTGTCACTGTAGCCGACCGTCCGCCAACGGGACGCGCGAGGCCTCGAGGGATGCGTCACGGTCGTCGATTTCGCGAAAAATCGGCCAGACGATCTTTCGTAGATTTAGCGGGCGGATTTAGTTCTCATCTCGTTAAGCGAATCCGCTGCGCGATCCGGCCGAATAACTAGCGATTCAGGCCAAGGTTTCGGGTGCAACACGTGCTCGTCTCTCCCCTCTATCACTCACTCTCTCTCTCTCTCTTTCTTTTCCCTCGGGGGTCGCGCGGTACAGAAATAAAATACCGCTCCCCCGGACCCCGATGTATGCATTCCCTCACGATGACGGCATGATCGCCCGCGCGTCCACGGAAGAATGCAAAAAAAGGGCGACGAGGGCCGCGAGAGCAGCGCGCGCTGCCGCGGAGAAGCGACGTGGAGCGTTCGATAGCGGGGAATAGAGAAACCACGCGAATTTAGCGAGGGCTAAAAATCCCAGCGGGATCCCGACGATCCTGACGCGGCTAATGATCCGCAAACCGAGCGCGTAGGAGCGCGCTCGATTAATAACGGCGAAGTATAAGAGCCCCACCGCATCTTGCGGTGGTCGGGAAATTTAATAGTCATCGGCTGATCCCTCCTCAAGGTGGAGGATCCCGCAGGAGCGACCTTTGAACCGTCCGTATATCATACAGACCGGACGACGAGCTAACGCTCGCGCGCGACGCACTTTTTCGCGCATGGTGGCGCACGGCGGCGGACGACATTATGAGGGTTGAAGCCGGTCGGGTTTAAGATTTCCGAGGCGGCGCTCATCGTTTCTAGCGAAGAAGAAGTCGCACTAGAGAATTCCCCGTAGGCTGCGCCTCTCATATTACCTCGTCCTTTGCATCCGAGCCCTTCTCCTCCGAACACCTTACTTGCCCCCGGGCCGCTCCCCTCCCCCTCACCCACGTCTCACCTTTCCCCGAAGACAAACGATCCGGCTGTACGGGTAAAACGATGCCCGGCCGCATCGATTTATCGCCACGACGGCGTCGCGACGCGTGGGGACTGTGTTGCTCGAGGACTATATTGGTTCGCTCCGAGCCCGGATAATTCCAATTTGCGTATCTCACACCTGGAAAATCGAAACTTTAAACCGAATCTATAGAGACTCTCTCTCTCTCTCTCTGAGCGGTTGCCGGCTGCGAAGGGCAGCGCAAATATACACACGTTCACCGCTGCATTTCTAAGACCCCGTGTCTTTTTGTCGCGACCCCGATATTTTTATTCGCTCCTGAGTATAATCGCGAGAGCATCTTTACTGCCTCTTTCTACCGCGAAACGACGTCCCGAGTCGAAATTTCAGTTCTACATTAATTTAGTCTATTTAGTTCTACATATTGAGTCTTCAAGAGTCTTTTACTTTGCTTCTTCTTTGGTGCTACGAATGGGAAGTTATTTTCGTTTTCTCCATTTTAAAACTCAGGCCGGTATTTACAGTCAGATCTTATATTTAAGGGCGTCTTAAGTTTATCTTCAGATACTGTATAGTTCGTTTCATTAACACGTTGACTGCCACGAAACTTTTCACGATTCTGGTCTAAGAAGCCAATTTGATTTAATCAAGTAATGAAGCGACGAGATAACTCGTAGTTGGCGTTCTGGACAAGTAAACAACCTACGAGATATCTCGTAGTTGGCAGTCAACGTGTTAACTACGAAACATCTGAAGATGAGTCTCAAGACGGTTTTAAATACAAGATCCGGTTGAAAAAATCGGTCGTAATGTAGAATTTAAAATTTTCCCCCGGGAGGTTTAAAGTCTCTTCATAGCATCAAAGGAATACTATCAGTGCTCCTTTAATCCCATGTAGAAATCGTATATAGTCTGTCAGTATAGGATACTGGCGTGATACTAACCTGGTACCGAAAAGCAGAAGTCATGTTTTGGTATTGACCCGGTGTTGGTCTAATATTAAAAAAGCAGTATTATTGGTATTGGCCCCGTATCTAAAAACAATACCGGGTAGTTGTATCATGCCTGTATACTGAACCGGTACCGAAAAGCGGACGTCATGTTTTGGTACTGGTAAACATACTGGTAAGCAACTGGTCCTTGTAAGCACACAATATTTATAAAATATTTAAAAAATATAGATATTAAATATTTTGTAAATATTCAAACGTCCGGGAAATTCAGATATGAGAAAGAATGTGAAAAATATTGTAAAAATTATGAAGAATATTTTTAATAAATAATTACGATATTGATTTTCGGTACTGTTGCGATATACTGTCGGTTACTATCACTCCATTTCTACGAGGGGGGACCCAAAAAAAACCGGATTTTTTGTATAAAAACTTTATTTATTAACTTTTTTACAAAATTCCTTTAGTCACCTTCAAAGTACTCTCCATTAGATGCGATGCACTTGTCAAGTCTTTTTTCCCATCGTTTGAAGCATCTCTGGAACTCTTCAACTTTGATATCGTCCAGTGCCCTTTGCGAAGCTGTTTTTACCGCCTCCACATCATCAAAACGCTTCCCTTTTCACCAAAGTCATTACAGGTGATAAGAGTTGGTGTTACGGGTATGACCCAGAAACTAAGCAAGTGTCAAGCCAGTGGAAGACTCCCAACTCTCCCAGACCAAAAAAAGCAAGACAAGTGAGGTCGAATGTGAAGATGATGATCATTGTCTTTTTTGATGTTCGTGGAATTGTGCATCGGGAATTTGTTCCTCCTGACCAGACTGTTAACCAGCACTTTTATTTGGAAGTTTTAAGACGTCTGCGAGAGGATGTGCGGAGGAAACGCCCGGAAATTTGGCGATCAGGTTCCTTCATCACGACAACACCCCCGCACACACGGCCTTACGAGTGACTCATTATTTGGCCTCTCGGGGATGGCCTGTCGTTCCCCACCCTCCGTATTCACCAGACCTAGCCCCGTGCGACTTTTTTTCTGTT